GTACGATATTTGGGGCTGGTGGTGGGGGGGTTGTAAAGTGCCAATGAACCACCAATGATTAGAAGATTTTTTTAGACGGGAAAGTGTTTTTTTTTTTTTTTTTTTTTTTTTTTTTTATTTAGGGTTCATCCGTGACATCTAGCCATTGCATTCCATGCAGTTTCAGCGCAATGCAATTTTAACATTTTGGCTTTTCATCCATTTAGCTTACTTCCACTAACAGGAATGACTTGCACTTGACTTCAGTGGACAACTTTTAAAGGCGTGTTAAATCTAAATTATGATTCGGCATTTATATTGATGGCAAGCTTGCAAAATATTTGGTTTTTATGATTAGTCATAATTAATATTAATATGTGTAAGTGGTCTTTGACAAATGGTAGTATTTACTATTCTTCAATTATAGCTGAGACCAAAAGATATACAAGTTAAGCTGAAATAGTATATACCAGTTGAAAGTTGAGTAGACTATATTTAGAGATAGTTGGTTAAAAAGTATTTGATAGTTATGTCAAGGTTATTAGAAGTGACTTACTATTACATTACGTATTTTCTGTGTATATTTAGTATACGTTTCTAACATTGATACATTTACGTCATTAGTTTTATAATATTTGGTACATCAGCATACATATGTTCCTGTCCATCAAACATCATATGTATAGCATCTTTCCCTTTTATGAAATGGCTTTGCTAAGCAAGTAATACTTCCATAGAAGGTATTAAGATCGCTAACTATGACGTACATTTGCCTCTTAAAAGTGCATGAGACAGACACAGGGACACATACACACTCTCTCTCATACACACAAGCAACATGACTCTTGCAAACACACGTCTGAGAAGCTGCAACAGGTGCATACTGAGATCACTTCCAGCTACAATTTAGTCACATTCCGCTTCTCCTGCTTTACAAAGTCATTGGGAAGGACAGCATGGAGCATGGAGCACATGCAAGGACAGAACAGCCATGACAGATAATGTGACTTTTTCTTTGAACTTTCGCTTGTCATTTTTACAGTAATTGTATCTACATGGAACTGTTCATAATACGCTTTACATTGTTTATTTGACATCATTGTGTTTGATAGAATAAAATCACACTTCATTTTTTTTATTTCAATGGCTCTTTCATTCATAATCGCCTCAAGACACTAGAAGAAGTATTATATGTGTCTAAAAATCCAACAAGGCGAAGTGCTCCTTTATTTTTTAACCACCTCAGTATTGGAATGTTTCTTCAGTACAGTGGCTAAGTGGTTAGTACTTCTGCCTGAAGTTCTAGGGTTGTCAGTTCCAAATTCCAACCACAGCACTACCTGCCTGAAGTCTGCATGTTCTTCCTGTGCCTCAGGGGGGTTTCTTTTTGGGTACTTTTGGTTTCCCATACTCCACACTCCTAGCAGCTTCCAAAGGTTGATTGGCTGCTGTCTAAATTGGCCCTAGTATGTGAGTTAGGGACCTTAGGTTGTAAACTCCTTGAGGGCAAGGGCTGATGTAAATGTACAATATATATATATATATATGTAAAAGTGTTGCGTAAATTGATAGAGCTACAGTATATAAGCACCTGTAATAGTAATAATAATAATAATAAGTACCTGTAATAAATAAAGAAATACATTTCCAAATATTACTGTGGCAAAAAAATAGTAACACCTCGGGGGTGTTCACTTTCCAGAAAGGGGTTATACTGGGGGAAAACATTTTTTTTTCAAAATATTTTCTTTAATTAAAACAATAATAGCAATAGGGTAAAAAAGCAGTGGTTATGAAAATTTACCAAAGGAAAGATCTATCTCTCTCAAAAAATGGTATAGAGTTTAAGTACGGTGTTGCATGAAGCAGTCATTTTCAGTCAAACTGGTAACAAATGTGGGTAATATAAAGTTGCATTGCCTTCATCACAAGATATGTTTAGCTTGCAAAAGGGCCTAGGATGACTTTTAGAGATGAGCGAATTATTCAAAAATTCGATTCGGCTGATTCGCCGAATTTGTGCCGGAATAAATTTGATTCGATGCGAATTTATTCGCTGCGAATTTAACTTATTAAAAGGGTTTCTAGGCTTCAGAGAGCCTTTAATATTAGTGCAGAACACTGTACTTTAATTTAAATGCCCTTGGAGTCTGCTGGGGAAGAGAAATAATTTACTGTCAGTCAGTATGACATGCAGATGAGTGCCGTCGATCTTAGAATCACCGCACACTTCACTCATCATTTCATTTGGCAGTCACGGGGCCAAAACCAGAGTGTGGAGCCACAGTGTGGCGGTGGAGGCAGCAGCAATGGGAGGCCATACAGCACCCTATGACAAAAATGGAACCCACCAGCAGTGTGAGGAGACCTGAAAGTGGCACATGGCAGGAGAGTGTGGCGATGGAGACAGCAGCAATGGGAGGCCGTACAGGGACCCATGAAACACTCTGGACCTGGCAGCAGCATGAGGAGTCGGTTTACAGGGACCCATGACACACTCTGGACCTGGCAGCAGCATGAGGAGGCGGTACAGGGCCCATGGCAGATTACGGGCCTGGCAGCAGCACATGAGGAGGCGGTATGGGGGCCCATGGCAGATTACGGGCCTGGCAGCAGCATGAGGAGGCGGTACGGGGGCCCATGACAGATTACGGGCCTGTCAGCAGCATGAGGAGGCGGTACGGGGGCCCATGGCAGATTACGGGCCTGGCAGCAGCATGAGGAGGCGGTACGGGGGCCCATGGCAGATTACGGGCCTGGCAGCAGCAATGGGAGGCCATACAGCACCCTATGACAAAATGGAACCCACCAGCAGTGTGAGGAGACCTGAAAGTGGCACATGGCAGAGTGTGGCGATGGAGACAGCAGCAATGGGAGGCCGTACAGGGACCCATGACACACTCTGGACCTGGCAGCAGCATGAGGAGGCGGTACAGGGGCCCATGACAGATTACGGGCCTGGCAGCAGCATGAGGAGTCGGTACGGGGGCGTGGCCCATGGCAGATTACGGGCCTGGCAGCAGCATGAGGAGGCGGTACAGGGGCCCATGACAGATTACGGGCCTGGCAGCAGCATGAGGAGGCGGTACGGGGGGGGGGAACCATGCAGATTACGGGCCTGGCTGCAGCATGAGGAGGCGGTACAGGGGCCCATGGCAGAGTGGGGTTTACGGAGCGTAAGCTGCTAAAATTGAATGGGCCATACAGAGGCCTATGTTTAAAAAGTCCCCCCAGCAGCAGCGTGGGGAGACGACTATCAAGAGTCCAATGGCAGAGTGGCGGAGCAGAAGCAGCTTCAATTGAAGGCCATAACACAGGCCTAGGTTTAAAAGTCCCTCACAGTTAATTCCAATAACGAACTCTACTCCTCCGTGCAATCTACTTACGAGACCCTGGGCAGGTCTGGGTCCAATTTGTGGTAGAGACTGGTTTTGTTCAGCCATGCTTGAGCGAGTAATAACAGGTCTGTGCTGCCCTTTGTGTGTCTGGCTTAATTGCGCACAACACTGAACGTCCCAGCGTTTGTCAACGATTTGCCGTTAAGTGATGCAAACCCGCTGAACCACGTTCATGAGGAGCCGGTACAGGGGGCCATGAATCAGTATGGACCTGGCAGCAGCGTGAGCAGACGACAGAGGCACATGGCGCATTATGGTGGCGGTGGATGCAGCAGTATTCGGAAGCCAAACACAGGCCTCGGTTAAAAAGCGGAAGCCGTCAGCAGTGTGAGCGGACGACAGAGGCACATGGCGCAGGGTGGCGGTGGAGGCAGCAGCAATGGAAGGCCATACAGCACCCTATCACAAAATGGAACCCACCAACAGTGTAAGGAGACTCCTGAAAGTGGCACATGGCAGAGTCTGGCGATGAAGTCAGCAGCAATGGGAGGCCGTACAGGGACCCATGACCACACTCTGGACCTGGCAGCAGCAAGAGGGAGGCGGTACAGGGGCCCATGGCAGAGTGGCGGAGCGTAAGCAGCTTAAATTGAAGGCCATACAGAGGCCTATGTTAAAAAAGTCCCCACAGCAGCAGTGTGGGGAGACGACTATCAAGAGTCCAATGGCAGAGTGGCGGAGCAGAAGCAGCTTCAATTGAAGAAGAAGAGGATGAGGGTGAAGAAGAAGAAGAAGGTAGAAAGAAGAAGAGGATGAGGATGAAGAAGAAGAAGAGGATGAGGATGAAGAAGAAGGAGGAAGATGAGGATGAAAGAAGAAGAAATGAAAGAAGAAGGATGGTAGTAAGAAAAGAAGAAGAGGATGAGGATGAAGAAGAAGAAGAGGATGAGGATGAAGAAGAAGAAGAAGAAGAGGATGAGGATGAAAGAAAAAGAAGAAGAGGATGAGGATGATGAAGAGAAAGGAAGAAGAAGAAGAAGAGGATGAAAGAAGAAGAAGAAGAGAAGATGAGGATGAAGAAGAATGAAGAGGATGATGAAAGAAGAAGAAGAATAAGAGAGGACTCATGAGGATGAAGAAGAAGAAGAAGAAGAAGAAGAAGAAGATGAAAAGATGGGGATGAAGAAGAAGAAGGAAGAGGATAAGGATGAAGAAGAAGAAGAAGAATGAAGAAGGATGAAGAAGAAGAAGAAGAAGAAGGAAGAGGATGAGGATGAGGAAGAAGGAAGAGGATGAGGAAGAAGAAAAGGAGAAGAAAGAAGAAGAGGATGAGGAAGAAGAAGAAGGAAGAAGAAGAGGATGCGGATGAAGAAGAAGAAGAAGATAAGGATGAAGAAGAAGAAGAAGAGGATGAGGATGAAGAAGAAGAAGAAGAAGAGGGGTGAGGAAAGAAGAAGAAGAAGAAGAAGGATGAGGATGAGAATGAAGAAGAAGAAGGAAGAAGAAGGAAGAGGAATGAAGAAGGAAGAAGAAGAAGGGATGAGGAATGAGGATGAAGAAGAGAAGAAGAAGAGGATGAAAGAAGAAGAAGAAGAAGAAGAAGAAGCAAGGATGAGGAAGAAGAAGAAGAAGAAGAAGAGGATGAAGGAATGAAGAAGAAAAGAAGAAAAGAAGAGGATGAGGATGAAAGAAGAAGAAGAAGAAGAGAAAGGAAGAAAGAAGAAAGAAGAAAGGAATGAGGATGAAGAAGAAGAAGAGGATGAGGAAAGGTGAGGAAGAAAAAGAAGAAGAAGAAGAAGAGGATGAGGATGATATGAAAGAAGAAGAAAGAGATGAAGAAAGAAGAAAAGATGAGGAAAAAAAGAAACAAGAAGAGGAAGGAAGAGGATGAAGAAGAAGAGGATGAGGATATGAGAAGAAAGAAAGAAGAAAGGATGAGGAGAAGAAGAAGAAAAAGAAGAAGAAGAAGAAAAGAAGGAGGAAAGAGGATGAGGAAAAGAAGAAGAGGATAAAGAGGAAGAAGAAGAAGAAAAGGATGAAGAAGAAGAAGAGGAAGGGATGAAGAAGAAGAAGAAGATGAGAATGAAGAAGGAAAGAAGAAGAAGAAGAGGAAAAAATGAAGAAGAAGAAAAGAAGAAGAAGAAGAAGAGAGGAGGATGAGGAAGAAGAAGAAGAAGAAAAAGAAGAAGAGGATGAGAAAGGAAGAAGAGAAAAGATGAGGAAGAAGGAAAAGAAGAAGAAGAAAAGGAATGAGGATGAGTATGAAGAAGAAGAAGAAGAAGAGGATGAGGATGAGGAGAAGAAGAAGAAGAGGAGAAGAGGATGAAAGAAGAAGAAGAAGAAGAGATGAGGATGAAGAAGAAGATGAGGAAAAGAAGAAGAAGAAGACGATGAGGAAGGATGAAGAAGAAGAAGAAGAAGAGGATGAGGATGAGAAGAAGAAGAAGAGGAAGGATGAAGAAGTAGAAGAAGAAGAAGAGGAGGAGACGGAGAAGAAGAAGAAGAAAGATGAGGATGAAGAAGAAGAAAAAGAGAGGTGACTTCACATTTACAGCGGTTGAAACATTGAGATCTATTTGTTTCCCGAATAAAAACATCTGTATCCTAAATGGAAACAAATAGATACAATGTTTCAAACCGCTGTAAATGTGAAGGAACTGTCAGAGAACTGTCAGGCAAATAGCGGAGCTCTCTGCAGGGACACTTTTTGTCGGCTGTAGAAGGGATGAAAATCGGCCGATCGGGGGAAAATTCGATTCGTGCATCCGAAGTATACAGATTGCTAATTTTCGGATTCGGCGCGAATCGAATTTTTTCCTAATATCGAAACGAATTCCACTTCGCCAAGTTCGATTCGCTCATCTACTAATGACTTTTGAACCATGATCTGAAGGAACCTTCACAGAAAGGCATAGTCTTCCGATGGAGTTGAAAGTAGTACCCCACTGCCTTCTAGGAAGGTCCCATGGCCTTGGCTTTGGACTTGGAGATGGCTCATTTTAAATATGGGCCATAAATTGCCCCCGGAGGAAAGTTGGAAATTTTCCAGTTGGAAGTATTTTGCTGTTGGCAAATCAATGTTAATTTTGTCCTCATCCATTGCCACCCAGGAGACATTAGAAGGCATATGACGTGTGCCAAACTGCTAAAAAATCTGGGTAATGTAGAGTTGCACTGCCTTCCATGAAATTGAAAGTAGTACTCCCACTGCCTTCTGGGAAAGTCCCATGGCCTTTCACTTGGAGATGGATGCGCATTTTATTTGGTGGACAGAACATTAGACATACATGTCAAACTGCTAACAAAGTGGGTAATGTAGAGTGCAAACTGCCATTCGTCAAGCTATGTTTTGCTTGAAAAAGGGCCTAGGATGACTTCAAACCATGATGTGGAGGTATCTGAAGGCCTTTACCAAAAGGCAGAGTCTTCCATGAAACTGACAGTAATACTCCACTGCCTTCTGGGAAAGTCCCCGATGGCCTTTGATGTGGAGATGGCTCATTTTTATTTGGTGGACATCTGGCCATAAACTGCCCAGATAAAGTTGGAATTTCCAATTGGAAGTATTTTGCTGTTGGCCAATCAATGTTAATTTTGTCCTCATCCATGGACCACACAGGCATTAGACACACATGTCAAACTGCTAACAAAGGGGGTAATGTAGAGTTGCACTGCCTTCGTCAAGCAATGTTTTGCTTGCAAAAGGGCCTAGGATGACTTCAAACCATGGTGTGGACCCCAGATAAAGTTTGGAATTTCCAAATGGAAGAATTTTGCTGTTGGCCAATCAGTCTTTCATTTTGTCCTGAACCATGGATACCAGGCATTAGAAATACACTAAACACAAAAAGATATCTCTCTCGCCTTCTTAGATTCATAATAGCAGTAACTTACACATTGTAACTAGAGATGAGCGGATTGAACATGGCGAAAGTGGAATTTCGTTTCGAAGATTGGGAAATATTCGATTCGCGACGAAATCCGAAGATTAGCCAACTTCGGATGCACCGAATCGAATTTCCCAAAAAATGGGCGGCGACATGTGTGGCGACGGAGCGGGGATCTCTGGGAAGGCGCGCAGCTATCCAACGACAAGGCGAGAGCTGACCCATAAATGCATTCATTTAATGAACATGTGTTGATCGCATTAGCCAATCAGCAGCCAGCCAGCCAGCACTGTGTAATGGTGGAGCTATAAATCGCGGCCATCTTAGAATTCTCCATTAGCCTCACGGTCATTCAAGAGAGACAGACCTCTGTGTATTAGGGAGACAGAGTTAGGGCCACAGAGACTTTAGGGCCACAGAAATCGTTACTCAGGGACACAGAATCGTTACTTTAGGGACAACAGAAAAGTCGTACTCAGGGACACAGAATTGTTACTACAGGACATCAGGGAATTGTTACTCAGGGACACAGAAATCCTTACTCAGGGACAGACAAAAACAGAATAAGTTTACTCAGGAAACCAGAATTGTTACTCAGGGACACAGAACTATCGTTACTCAGGGACACAGAATTGATTACTCAGGGACACAGAATCGTTACTCAGGGACACGCATACCACACAGAATTGTTACTCAGGGACACAGAATTGTTACTCAGGAGGACCAGACACAGAATTGGTTACTCAGGGACAGCAACCCACAGAATCGTAACAAATACCGACAGGGACAAACAAGACCACAGAATCGTTACTCAGGGACAGACACAGAATTGTTAATCAGAAGGGGACAAGAATCGTTACAAAGAAACACAGAATTGTAAAAACAATAAGACACAGAAAAAAAAACTCTAAAGAAAAGACAAAACAGAATTGTTAACAGCAGGGGACACAGAATTGTTACGGAGGACACAGAATCGTTACATGAGGACACAGAAATTGTTACTCAAGGGACAACAGAATTGTTAAGACAGGAACACAGAATCGTTTACTCAGAGGAAAAACAGAATTGATACTAAGGGACACAGAATTGTTTACTCAG